GGAACTTAATTTCAGCTACGTCAATTCTTCGCAAGTATTCGTAACAAGAGGGTCATGATGGCACTAGATCGCTCACCTGACCCATCATCCGAACAATTACGTAGACAAGTATTCTGGCCAATTTGTATGACAGATGAGTCAAAACTGTGACCACTAGAGTGTTAACAAGGATTATCCATATTTGATCAGTGTGACATAGTTTTTTACCCAGGTGACCCATATTCGAACTTGACCTAGAAATCATCAAAACAAACTTTTAGACCAATTTCCAGGATACTTGGATCAAACAGTAGCCACTAGAGTGTTAACAAGATTTTTCTATGTTTAGCTCCGGTTACCTAGTTTTTCATGCGAGATGACCCATGTTCGAACTCATCCGAGCAATTACATAGACAAGCATCCTGATCAAGTTTGATGATAACTGAGTCAAAAATGTGACCACAAGAGTGTTAACAAGGTTTTTCCATATTTGGGCGGTGTGACCTAGTTTTTCATCCGAAATGACCCACGTTCGAACTTGACCTAGAAATCATTAAAACAAACTTTCAGACCAATTTACAGGATATTTGGATCAAAACAATAGCCACTAGAGTGTTAACAAGAATTTTTTCTATTTTTAGCTCCTGTGACCTAGTTTTTCATCCGAGATGACCCATATTCAAACTCTTTTGAGCAATTACCTAGTCAAGCATCCTGACCAAGTTTGATGAGGATTGAGGCAAAATTGTGACCACTAGAGTGTCAACAAGGTATTTCTATTTTTAGCTCCAGTGACCTTGTTTTTCATCCGAGATGATCCATGTTCAAACTCATCCGAGCTATCACCTAGACAAGCATCCTGACAAAGTTTGATGCTGCTTGAGGCAAATATGTGACCGTTGAGTGTTAACAAGGTTTTTCTATTTTAAGCTCTAGTGACCTAGTTTTTCATCCGAGATAATTCATGTTCGAACTCATCCGAACTAACAACTAGACAAGCATCCTGACATAGTTTGATGATGATTGAGGCAAAAATGTGACCGCTAGAGTGTTAACGAACAAGTGTGGACGGACGATGGATGACGGACATTCAACGATCCTAAAAGCTCACCCTGAGCAAGCTCAGGTGAGCTTAAAAGATTGATCAAAATGTCACCCATCTCTCTAAAATACGGTATCTCCAAACATTTGAAGGATTTGTATAATATTGTCATTCAATCTGAAGCTACATTTTCCAGCTGCCTTAAGACTAAAAAAACAGGCGAAATACTATATTAAACACAAGCGGGAAATTACCAGGAGTGATTTTCATAAGCTAAATAACAATAATATTTTGGCCTTCTTCATTATACGCTATCATGTTGAATAGAATATTTTAAGACTTAATCAACACATTTGTTTCCTTATTTCCAGTGGAGATTAATGCCCTTATGACACCATTATGTTCGAAAGGCCTGACTGAGACGACATATGAGATGCACCTTTCAAAATTGCATTCTGAGTTAGATTTTCTTTGGCAAAGGCCTTTAGATTCGTTGAAGAAAGAGGATCCGGTTTGGTTATTGGAAATAACAGTCTTCGTAATTAGACGGCAGATATTTATAGATTAGCTCATTTATCGTGTAGATATTCCAAACATTGTAAAACATCTTGAAATATTACTGTTATTTCTATTATATGTACCTTTTAGAAAAAAAATGGATGAAATGTATAACAATCATATATATATTTATTTTTTGTTCGTTAATATTCGTACGTTTTCCGATTTTTACCCTATATGATTATGGTCAGTGAGGCATGCAGTATACGTAAAGCAGTGTTAAAGGTATATTGGTCATTCGACGCAATAACGGAAAACAGTTAACATCAAGTCTACAGTATACATGTCAGACAGCGAGATAGAAAATGCTGGTTGTTCACGTGGTGGAGCTTCATTACCAGGTGAAGGCGGTAAGTCCCCGGGGGATTCAGCTATAGAAGCGTTTTCGATATTTAAAACTTAACTTGACTCTCGGTTAAAAGATTTCAAATCGACTTAATTGATATTAACCAATCTCCTCAGAACAGGAAAACTGTGAATTTGAAAAAGGAATCGAAATAAAACACAGCATGCATTCAATTCCGATATTTTAGAAGTTTTAAAAGCTTTACGTAGACAACGGTTACCACATGTTTCGCTTAACATTGTTGACAGTTTAAGCTCAAACTTGAAGCAAAGAAATAAGCGTATTTACCCTACGTGACAGATAATTCCCCAGGGGCTGGCTTACCGTGCAACAATACGAGAAGCCCCAACTAGGCTCAGACAGCGAAGATGAAAAGAAACTCAGGCACGCTGAAGCCAGGGCCGTTAAAAAACTTAAGGTTTCCAATCCTTATAAGAATGTTAATTCTTCTTTTCACGCAACAACGCCGGTAATGCTGTTCAGTTGAATTTCGTCGGGATGACGATTCTTTTCGCCGAGATCCGTCGTGGGGAGAAAGACATGTGCCTCTCATGTGGTCAGCGAGGTCATTTCCGCTCAGAATATTAAGCTGCCGAAAGTCAACGTCGAGTCAGGTACTACTAAGCCATCAGGTACTACTACGTCGTCTGCGGCCTCAGTCTCAGCAGTTGCAGACTCCAAGCCAATCGATAAATGATAAGGGTTTGTTTTGTTGTTTGTTTTTTTTTTTGTTAGATAATGACTTTTTTGAGTATGAAGAAGGTCATTTTTCGCCGGACATTAAAAATTTTAAAAATGTTAAATGCAGATTAAAACACATACTGAATTTTAGAAGTTAATTGGCGCTAATCAAGAAATGTTAGATACAATATCTTTTGGTGACAAACTGCCGTTTTTTAGCGTTTCTGTGTCTTCTTTTTCGAAGAATAACAAATCAGTTATAGACAATTTAGATTTTGTAGAATCTGCTGTATTATAGCAGGCAAAGAAACGTTGCGCGATCGAAACTCCTTTTAAGCCACATACTGTTAACCCTCTTACAGTTTTTATTAATAAACAGGGTAAGGAAAGATTAATTTTAGATTCGAGGAAAATCAATTTGTGGACGGGTAGTTTTTCTTTTGAAGATTGGAAAGTTGGTTTAGAATATTTTGAAATGGGATCTTTTTGTTATAAATTTGATCTCAGTCAGGGATATCATCACATCGATATTTTCCCGCCCTATCAAACTTTTCTAGGGTTTTCTGTGAAAGGGAAATTGTACTGCTTTACAGTGCTTCCGTAGTGATAATACAGTGTCATTGAATATTTCCCATATGCAGAGTGATATTCGATCTGAATTCAAGTTAAATTCAATTTTGTATTGCATTTCGTTTTCTCATAAGCAAAGTGGTTTTTAAAGATTCGTGCAGTTGAAAACTTGTGAGTTATGTCGAGGAAGAAAACATCAGTCTAAGAAACCTTTTAATAAAACCGACATTGAGATAATAATACATTTGACTAATAAACAAATGTTTTGTAGCAATGTCCGTTTAAAGTTTTTACGGTTTTTTTTTATATTTCGCGAAGTAATTTCTTAAAAAAGATCGGATATTGTTTTTGAAGACGATTGTATTAAATTAAAATTGAGATCATCTAAGACTTTTACGCCGGTGCTTCAGTGTGTATAGCTTAAACAGGAACTGATTTTTGTCATGTTTGTTGTCTAGATTATTATTTAACAGCTGCAAATCATGATAATTCTGACGATTTTTTGTTAAGAAATGTTTATTTTTAACAAGAAAACCGGTATGCATATGTTAGGAAAAGAGAAAAGTATTTCCTATTCGTGAGCTAGAGAGATATTTGTATAGGTGTATTGGTCATTCGACGCAATACTGGGCAACAGTTAACATCAAGTCCCATCCACCCAACCCATATACGTATTTGATCGTTATCAGTGTTCTTTTTATGTTCGTGAAGTTGGCAGCCTAGCAGCCTGAAGTTGGCAGCCCAGCAGCCTAGCAGCCTGAAGTTGGCAGCCTAGCAGCCTGGCAGCCTAGCAGCCTAAAAAAACTTTGAATAGTAAAACATGAAATCGTCGGAAAAACATTTGAAGCACTTTTTGAGATCATTCCATGCCTTTTTCAATATCGTGATCTTTATTTTTTTTTTAACATGTTGAACTTTATCTTATCATAATTTTTTCATTCTGACGCTTCGAAATTTGTGAAGTTAGCAGCCTAGCAGGATTGTACAACTAGGCTGCTAACTTCACAAATTTCGAAGTCTCAAAATTAAAAAAAAAAAGTTAATTATTTTTAAAAAATGAAGTACGCGATACTGAAATAAGACGTGGAATGGTCTAAGTATTTGCTACCGATTCATTTCCGACGGTTTTCATGTTTGTACTATCCTGCTTATCTGCTAACTTTACAAAGTGTCAGAATGAAAAAATTATGTTAAGATAAAGTTCAATATCTTGTAAAAATAAAGATCACGATATTGAAAAAGGCGTGGAATGATCTAAAAAAAAAGTGCTACTTATGTATTTCCGACGATTTCATGTTTGTACTATTCTTAGTTTTCTTTAGGCTGCTAGGCTGCCAACTTCAGGCTGCTGGGCTGCTAGGCTGCCAACTTCAGGCTGCTAGGCTGCCAACTTCACGAACATGTTCTTTTTAGATTTTTGTTCACGGACACATTTACCACTCATTCTTCGTGGTTATTTTTTATCATGAAACTAATGTGTGTTTGAGTTAATGAACGATAAATAAACGCTTTGTCCAGTATTGGTCACTCCTATTTAGTCGATATTGTCATTATTCTTTACGATAATAATGGTTAGACAATAAATGATTTATGTATGGTTGAAGGAACTGAAAAAAAACATAAATAATATTCAAACACATGTTACATGTAAAACACACTGTAAGTTAACGTATTTTCCCCCTAAATGGCTTGGGAAGTAATATACAATAATAATTTGGAAGCTTTACTTACCGCCTCTTACAGAAAATTATAACCAATATCACAGCTATAACGACAATTCCCACTGGTAATAAAATATACAAATAGGAAACAGAAATTTTGTCATCACCTGTAAAACGTGTAAACAGAACATGTGTCAGTATGATTATAACTGTTACATTAAACAGCATATATTGATATTGTAACGCTTTTTGTAAATATTACTTATTAATTAATTTATGTACTTTAAAATGCAGTTTTTTGTACTATTGTAATTTTATTTCGAATTAATTCATAAATATAAGTAAAAAAAAATGTTTTATTCAAATCTTTTACTTATTTTCTTGTTCTGTTGAACGTAATTAAAACAGTAAATAAATTTGAATAAGAAACAAATGAATTAATCATTTGCAAAGTTAATATATGTTTAAATATATACATATACATAAATATGCATATATATAACATTCGAATACCAAAAGTGAACAACTCTGTAGACAAATCTAGGTTTACTGAATCATACGAAGAGAAGAATTACGAACCTGTATTCGTTTTCCTAACTGGTTTATGTGTAGATAAAGTATCATGATTTGTTGATGGCTTTTGACTGGTACTTTTGCTAGTTTCAATCATGGGATTTACACTCGACTGTGGACTGGTACTTTTGCTAGTCTCAGTTACGCGATGTGTACTCGCACTATTTTCTGTAGATGATGTTGTCGACGTATTTACATATGCTTTTTGAATATATAATGTAAGACTATATTTAAACCGTTATATGACTAAATAAAAATTGTTTTTTCTTTTCTTTTTTTTTTTCTTTTTTTTTTTGTTGGCTTGAAAATATTCTATTTAAAGCATAAACCGTTATATGACTTAATACAAATTTTTTTTTTGGCTTGAAAATATTCTATTTAAAGCATAAACCGTTATATGACTTAATACAAATTGTTTTTATTGGCTTGAAAATATTCTATTAAAAGCATAAACCGTTATATGACTTAATACAAATTGTTTTTATTGGCTTGAAAATATTCTATTAAAAGTCTAACGCATAAAACAAAAGAACTTCAGAAGTAATAAAAATGTTTCAAATCTTGAAAGTAATTATTCAACGGTACAACCTAAATAGAAAAACTGTGAATAATTATTAGAACATTTGATGTTGCCGTTTTGCTGTCAAAATGATTTCGCTTCAACGAAAGATAGTTTTAAATATATTTACATTTAATATATCCTTTTCACGTTTAATAATAAAAGAAATAGTTACACTGTGTGTCGTATATCATGATTCGCCAATGACCACCGCAGTATTCATCCGGATTACCTTCACATATGTAGGTACACAGTGCTGTCATGTTATAAAACCTTATTTCATTTCCGCAAAAACATTCTTCGCCACTCTGTCAAAAGAACAATGATTATATTTGAGTCATTAATTTATGAACTGAACAAGATTTAAAAAGCACTGATTCGAAAACTCAGGTAATGGATATAAAAACTTCTAAGTTTGAAACCTGAATTTTAAAATCTATAGATCATTACAGAAAATAAGTGAGATCATTTTGAGAGGCAAGCAAGTAAAACCTTCTAATCTTTAAATTACATAACTTTTCCAACTAACTTATTTGATCACGTAAGGTGGTTGTTAAAAGAGCCGCGCCATGACAAAACCAACATAATGCGTTTGTGACCAGCATGGATCCAGAACAGCCTGTGCATCCGCACAGTCTGATCAGGATCCATGCTGTTCGCTATCAGTTACTCTACTTGTTATAGGGTTAGTATCCTGATCAGACTGTGTGGACGCGCATGCTGGTCTGGATCCATGCTGGTCGCAAACATATTATGTTGGTTTTATCATGGCGCGGCTCAAAAATGTATCCACGGCAAAAGATAATATATTGTGTTATGTAATAGGAATATTTATGAAATATTAAAGCTTTTTCCTTTGTTTATCTTAAGTGACAAATTGTTAGTAACGTATCAAATATTTTACTGGTGAAATACTTTTGCAAATATGACTTTGTGTGTTTTTTAATCTGCTATTTACTCGGATGTTAACACATATTGAGTGAGTAGTCCATCCGACCGGCTTTCCGGGAAAACTAGCCACGTATTACCACATTTCTCTGCAAGTGACCGACTACTTATCTGACATGACTTTCAGAGGTATGAGACAAATGACCAATAAACTCAATGTCCGAGATTAAAATTTCGCCTCCCACGAACATCGAGGATTACTTGAAGTAATTCAATGGACATAAAATAAGCAAGGGGTCTATGTGTAAACAATATAAATAGATAACTGCACAAAGTACTCGTAAACATATAAACAAGACATAAATAAAGGAAAAACGGAATGAGCCATCAAGAAAATAGAGAGTTACCGGAAACACTGTTGATTATAACAAGAAGATAAGTGTACCCTTTTTATATTTATAAATACATAAATTTACCTCTGTACCAAAATATCTGTAGCCTTGACAATACTGTTTACATTCCTTTCTTCCGTTTGGGTATAGATCTGTCGTGTTTCCATTCAGCACTCGGTGATGACCGTCTTTAAAACATCCAATAAGTTTATCGAGTGAGGCTTCAACTACATAAAACAATTAAATAATTTCATAGTGATAACAGAATACAACTCTTCGGCTATCAATAAGTGCAAGAGTTTTTGTACAAATAAAACGTTAGTAAAACATTTTTGTTCCCAATCAATTTTAACTGTTTAAATAAAAATATTATAATTTATAAATATACCTTGCAGAGGCCCTAAGTTTAACATTATTACAAAAACCAAACTAATTTGAAATTGTGACATCTGTCGAAATATCCAAGCATTATCTCTTTTAAAATTCATATTCAAAAATAAATCCACTTCTAATGAACGCTCATGTTTCAATATCACACACTTATGAGTACATCACGGATACAAACATTTAACACTTACCGCATCGGGAAGTACAACATAAGGAAAAAATATCCTAACTTGTATTTTTGTAAATATATAGTTTAACTCATAAAATGATTTAAGTAAAGGCAGCGATATTATATGCCAATTTATTTCATGGTTACATGTTTCAATGTCGCATTTGAAAACGAATTATAATGACTTTTTATACATCTTTCTGATACTTTTCTAGCTAACAAAATAATTCATTTACAGTAAATTTAGTTAAACACAGTCAACTATCTATGGTTAATTGAGATTCTGAAGCAAGTATTTGACTGACATGCGGTATGACTGAAGAAAATAACGAGTACAGAATAACAACGAGATTCCATCAGCTATCAAAAGAGGAGATAACTCCGAAACATGGGTGTTATCATGAATTGAATCAAGTCAATAACTATGCCAGTCATCCTTATCAGGTTAGTAAAATAATGTTAACAGATAATATACAATTTCAACAGTGTGATAACCTTTCTAAAACAAAAAAGTCAATAGGTCGTTAAGCATCAGTCGCATTTAAAAGGAATCTAAATATTATTTTCAAAGCTATCAGTATGTTTCAAGGGGTCATCATGACCGAAGTTTGCCTCTGGCAGTCTTGTTTAATGTGTTTTGGTTGATTTAAGCTAAAAGTATTTTTTAATGAAAATAATGAATTGCATACAAAATTAAAACATGCGAAACCGTCGTCATTCAAATGAATAAAGAACGAGATACAACCCTTTCAAACTCCCTGATTACTCAGTATAAACCGCTCGCGTATACCTTTCAAAACTTCCTACCCAAAGTCACGTTTTCTCTTCAAAACCTTATGTATCTTAAAAGTCTAGAGTTGACTCGAATCAATGGCAATGATATTAGAAACATGCAAGGTTTATATTGCTAATGTTTTTGACCAAGTGTTTAGGTGGAAACGTTGTTCAAAGAGTTGTAGATGGACGGATCGATGTACGGACGGACGGTGAGTGATCACAAAAGCACACCTCGAGCTCGTTTTGCTATGATGAGCTTTCTTGCCTTAGGTCTTTCAAGGGTTAATTATATTTAATTACTCAATATGAAAGATTGTTCCTGGACGTACAAATGAAAATTGTCAAGGAATAAACAAGAGCGATCAGTGATCAGTGATTACATGTGTCGCCTGATGACTTGTATTGAGGGGTGATCGGACAGTTTGTTCACTATAGGTCGCGGATAGTTTGTAGCATATAACAGCTACTCTGTAGCAGGAGACACAAAAATCATAAACAGGCCAAAACATTTTTTATGCGAGGAACATATCTTAGTCAAAACCATTTAACTGCATAATTGCTCAAGTACTTCACGCACCCTTCAATTCCGATATAATTCATTCTTATTGCATAAGTAGTATGAGAGAAGTAGTTCGGAAAAAACTTTAAAACAAAAAAATAATTGAAGGGCCATAACTCTGACAAAATCATTGAACTGGAAAATACTGAAAAGATATGCACAACTTTATAACTTATTAATAATCATTTCTGTAAAGTTTGGATGACATTGTACCAGTAGCTTTTAAGGAGTGGTCCGAACAAGTTTATGACGGACGGAATTTCTAACTAGACAATACTTATGTCACCACTCTTTTGTTCTCCCTTACATAAAGAAAAAGGTCACATAAAAGCTTTAGTTTAACATATATAATTTTAAAAATTTACAAGAATGTATCATTTTACATCACAATATATGTGGATTGAAAAACAAGCATAACACTTATATAAATTCTTTTTCGTGATGGAGTTTCGTCTTTATTATTTCACTTTATATGATCAGTGCATTTTGTATTTTTACTGTTATTTTACATTTCAATATTGATTTTAATTACCAAAATTAACTTAAAGCTTTATGAAATGAATGACATCACAGTTTTCTAGCCACATAAGTATCCAAAAGTAAGGTCGGACAGACGGACAGATATCCAGACAAACGTGAAAGGATATATATCTGCGCTAGGTATTTTCTAAATTATTTTTTATATTCAAGTACGAATAAGATACGAGTATATCAATTAATGATGATACTATAGCCAATCATAGCCAACCTCAGCCAAATTTCAAGGTAAAAACCTTAAAGTTTAATGTCAACGAGGAGTCAAAATCAAATTTAAAACGTCACAAGCAAGTGACAATTATTTCTATTTAAATGCTTGATCGGTTTTGTAGAAGAACGCACTCAGAATGTCAGACGGCCGGACTGACGGACAAACTTTGACCAGTGTACCGCCTCACAGTTTTCGTTGTGCGAGGGGTTCACGAAGATTTCCGTAAAATAAATATTTAATTTCAAGATATGTAACGTTTATCACGTTCATGATTATTTTAATCTTCTTCAATAAAGAAAGGAGGTAGAAGAAATAGATGTGTATGTAAAGTTATACATCACTTTCAAGTTTAATTAATTACATGCTTCACGTGGACTGTATTAAATCAGTCACCAGATCGAACGATAGATAGAGAATGATCGTGTATTCATGCAAACATTTTCAATTTAAATTTCAAATATATAAAAGAAATCAAAAGCTTTATTCCTTATAAAAAGTGAAAGGAAGCTGCTTGTTTTTTATCTCATTTATCATACTTTTTAAGGTTTTGCATAATATTCCAGTCTCGTTCTCGACAATTGATTACGATATTCAGTTAGGGCCAGTGCGTTTTCACTGAAAACGGAAAGAGCGAAACACAACATGACACTACTTTGGTGACAGTACGATAGTACGATGGTGACAGTACAATAGTACGATGGTGACAGTACGATGACACCATTGTACTGCTGTATTGTCACCATTGAACTGCCGTACTGTCATTATCGTACTGTCGTACTGTAACCATCGAACTGTCGTACTGTTACCATTGTACTGCCGTACAGTCACCATCGTACTGTCGTACTGTCACCATCGTACTGCCGTACTGTTACAATCGTACTGCCGTATTGTCACCATCGTACTGCCGTATTGTCACCATCGTAGTGCCGTATTGTCACAATTGTACTGCCGTATTGTCACAATTGTACTGTCACCATCGTACTGCCGTACTGTTACCATCGCATGTCGTACTGTCACTATCATACTGCTGTATTGTCACCATCGTACTGCCGTACTGTCACCATCGTACTGTAACCATCATACTGCCGTATTGTCACCATCGTACTGCCGTATTGTCACAATTGTACTGTCACCATCGTACTGTCGTACTTTTACCACAGTACTGTCGTACTGTCACCATCATACTGTCACCATCGTACTGTCACCATCGTACAGCCGTACTGTTACCATAAATTGTCGTACTGTCACCATCGTACTGTCGTATTGTCACCATCGTACTGTCATCATCGTATTGTCATACTGTCACCATCGCACTGTCGTATTGTCACCATAATACTGTCGCCTTCCTGTCGAGCATGCGCAAACATTTCACTGAACATGGCTAGCAAAACTAAGAGCTTATGCCGGTGTTTTATTAAAATAATCTTTACTCTATCAAAGATCACCTATTAAGAAAATCGAAAGATAACAGAATCAAAATCTATCTACATAAATAGAACTTAATGATAAAAATGAACGCCTGTGTCTTCCAACAGATAGGCCTAGTCTAGATATTTTGTTTTTGATTTATTTGTAAAATATAGTATTTTCTTCAACTTCAATTTCAAACAACACTCATCAGTACAAGAATTAACGTGTATGTTAGCCATTGTTAAAATGAGACTTTACGACATTGTCAACGCTTTCTTCCGTGTTTTTCTTTTATTATGCGCATGCAAAACAGGAAGGCGAAAGTACGATGATGACACTACGTGACAGTCCGACAGTACAATGGAGACATTACAGTCCGTCGTGCTGTCGTAGTGTCACCATCGTACTGTCGTAACGTCACCATCGTACTGTCATATTGTCATACTGTCATGTTTTGCGCTTTTCGTTCAAAGAGACACGCGCTGGCTCTTACGGAACACCGTTATTGATAAATTAACCATTTATTTTATAAAGCAAAATGTAAAGATGTATGGAGGGTAGTGAAAAGAAAAAAAGGTTAGATACAATTAAGCAAATTAGACAAATTAAATGTAGGTATTTTCCGGTTCGCACGGTAATCGTTCCCAACGTGGAATGTTTAGCACGTACACCTCAAAATGATCAATCTTTGACTATGGCTAGAATTTATATTTAGTTTTCAACTTGCTCGTCTTTTCGTATTAAAACCAATGATCGTGATTGTTCTGAATAATTTAAATTTTGAACTCAATAATAAGGAAAAGTATGATTATTTTTCGACCTAGATCTCCTTACTTCCTTTATATTTCGTATCTACAACGTGACATGCAGATATCACATAAACGATGTCTATTTAATTCAAATTGTACCTTTTTGAATTTATTTTTTAAATAAGGTAAGTAAAATATTACGTACATAAGTTTTAAGTCAACAATTTAGTGGACGGTTTTATTCTCATTTACACTTATTTCTTTTCAAAAATAAAATAACTGTGTTGTTTGCTTTTAGGAAACTTCTGCTTTCAAAACAAAATAGTGTCAAGTAGACCGTCTTCTGTATCATATAAATTATCTTACTTATCTAGTATGCAATGATCAACTTTTGCCAGACCTTAATGGCCTGTGGTTGTCAAATTTAGGTGGGAATATTCATCAAGATCTGGAATATAGGGATCACAACCACCCGCTTTAGCGTGATCATAATTTGATTCCTGGTCTGGTTCTTCGTTTAATTCAGCATTAGTTTGCTTTGATTCCATTGGCCTGCTAATTTTAGTATGGTTATATTCATCAATCTCAGCTGTTTCACTCATTGCAGCATTTGAATAAGAATATGATTCCTTGTAATTATTATTGTCTTGTATGTGAGAATAAGTATTGTCTAAAACCGGGCCAAAGAATTTATTTGTATGGTCATATTCATGTTGTACATCATTCCTGAAATCATCTTCTAAGGTGTTAACATAAACAACCTCTTTCATTTCAGATGAACTCTGTTTTGTTATAACTGCATATTCAGTGTCTTGTTGAAGTGGTTTATCTGCTATAGATGAATTTATATTTATATCACATAGGTTATCTGTGCCATTTTTGAAGTGTACTGATTGGTCAATATCGGGTTTATGATCATCTTCGTCGTCGGTTTTGGTCGTACAACACGCCTTTCTTTTCCTGTTTAACAAATATATATTTAAGACACAATGGTATAATTTTGATTCAAAATGTATATAATTTTCGTTTATGTACATTATACATGTACAAATCTTGTATGTATAACTTCATAACAGAGAATGTCTGCCTTTTATTACTTCTTAACAATCTAAAAATGAATTTTGAACAATTGCGAGCATGCAATACAATTTACAAGATAATTAACATTAAAGCTTAAGAGGGACTTTTTATTTCAACGATATCAGCAAATCATTAAATAGAAATATCCCACATTGTTTCCTTGAGCATGTAAATATATTCTGTATATGTGCTTAATAATATTAGAAGCTTATTAGATTTCAAATATTCTGCTTATGCCAACATTTCTTAAATAACTTACCTACATACAGCAATTATTGTGACAACAAAAATACCAATAACCAGCAACGGTACTGTGACAGCAATAGCAATTAAAGTACTAGGTGTAGATTCTACAAGGCAGACAGAAAATAAATAAAGTCCTCACTTTGTCAGTATGTCAAAAGAGAAATATAAGAAGAAATATTATATATACAAATAAAATTAAAGACAAAATCTTTGATCCTGCTTTGAAATCTTTATTGTTTACATTGCTAAACATAGTCGATAAGTTGATGCGGTCTAAAATTGAAAATCAATTTTGCAGAAATTTGTCATATAATGATAGATGTTTAGTTGTTTTGTTTTTTGTTGTTTTTTTGTTGTTTTTTTTTGTTTTGTTTTGTTTTTTTGTTGTTTTTTTTATTTAAACTATGTATGACACGAGCATGAGTAGTACGAATAATCATAATAAAGCGAAAGAAAATGTTATATCTAATAAAGTCTTAACTTATATAAAACTGGTACATGCATACTGTCCTGTTAAATTGACGCAATGAAATCAGGTAAAATGTCATTGTTTATATCTGAGCCGCGTCACGACAAAACCAACATACTGGGTTTGCGACCAGCATGGATCAAGACCAGCCTGCGCATCCGCGCAGTCTGATCAGGATCCATGCTGTTCGCTATCAGTTTCTCTACTTGTTATAGAGATTTTAAGCGAACAGCATGGATCCTGATAAGATTGCGCGGTTGCGCAGGCTGGTCTGGATACATGCTGGTCGCAAACCCATTATGTTGGTTTGTCCTGACGCGGCTCATTTAATATTTACTTGTCTGTCAGACAGCTTATTTGCTCCCTCAGTCTATGATATTAAATCAATAAAGTATATTGCAATACAAACCCATTAATTTTAAAAGATATAAAACTGTATTTACTTTTTATGACGCAACTAGGCAAACTGGACCATTTACTGTCTGCCATGCATGTCACGGATCTATTTCCTATCATAGTAAAACCTCTAGAACATGATAATATTCTTGTTGTATTGAATGTAGTATTTCCCGAAGCTTTATCTAACGCACCATTTTCTAATGACGGAATACCACAGTCTGAAAATATTGTAAAGACATCTAATATATCGTCAATGTTATGTGCAGTGTTTTCTCCCTATCTCTCTTACAAAAATTGAGTTAACTTCTAACAAATTTCGTTTTCTTTTTAAAAAAAAACATGTTTATTTTAACTTATAATTATCATGTTTGTATTTTAAAGGAGCAGGAATGAATCGCAAATCATATCATTATTTGGTTTTGAAAATGACACACAACACCAAGTTCGTGTACAGTACGAATTCGATCTAATATGCTGTTATTACTTAAATTGGCGTCATCTTTCAATTTCTTCCAATTTCCTTGCTTCAATTGAACTTTCAATGGCTTTTCCGTAATTTACATTCTGCATATGAAATAATGTTAGTACCGTTTTAACGTTAATAGTCTTAATTAACACATTAATTTGTTACCCACCTACAGGCCGACATGTTGGTCTGTCACTCCATGTTCCATTTTCTTGACAAGCAATAGCGAAGCTTCCATTTATTTCATACCCTTTTATACAGGTTATGAATACAATTGACCCTATCCAAATATCTCGTACAATTGTTGTACTGAATGCTGGAGTGGGGTCGTCACAATCTGGATATAAAAAGTACACGTAGAGCGAAGCACATGAAAATGCACATTAAATTAAACATTATTGTATCTGACTTCAAAAGTATCGCCATAACACTTTCAACACATTAACTTGTCGTCTCTTAATTTAAGTTGACACTACTAAACATATAAATTCTTAAAATGTGAAGTTAATATATGCACTTAATGAGCTGTTCACTTTTTATCATTTGAAAACCAACATGGAGTTCCTGATCTTTATACGTGTTTTATTCCCAAGCATATAAAGGCTTATTTGTACTACAAAGCTAAAATATTTGAAAATTGATATTTCATTTTCATTTTAGACCAGTTGAATGCAATCATGTGGACAGACTATAACTAAATTGTACAGAATACGATATATGTATGCTTATTTATATGATTTTGTAGGTAAAAACCGTTTGCTGCAATTCTGAAAACTGGTGGTTTATTCTCTTGATAAGTTATCCTTACTATAATGTCAATATTCATGTTACCATACAAACAAAGAAGAATACAATATATTTATATCAGATCATGATAATTCTAATTCTGAACTTAATGTCAGAATTACAATGTAAAACAAGGTCCTCATGCCAAGGGTAAACTACAGATAGTTCTTGCATATTTGATAGGATTTTTTACTGTTCACCCTATTATAAAATAGACCCAAATGATTTCTTTCCGAAGTACAGGTTACATGTTATATGCTCGTACAAGAAAAAAGAATCAAACACTGGCTATCTTCAGAGACGGGAGTATCTAGCACTCGAGTAACTGTTTAGCGGAAATTAGGCAGAGCCTCGAGGTCGCTGTGGACAGCAACCTCGAGCTAGATATCCTGTTCTGTACTGGCTGCCGGTGTAAGATTCTTATTTTATTTTCAAAGTATGAAAATATTCAGAAGATGATAGACGCGTTTGTCAACTTCATATTGCAGCCATGCCGGTTTTAAACAATTAAATTATCTTATTCCATATTGTAAAAATAACTGTATGTAGTATTTGTGTTGCTACAATGTAATGACCATGACAATATGAGCCGCGCCATGACAAAACCAACATAGTGCGTTTACGACCAGCATGGATCCAGATCAGCCTGCGCATCTGATGTTCGCTTACAAACCCTTTTACAAGTAAACTGATAGCGAACAGCATGGATCCTGATCAGACTGCGCGGATGCATAATAATCAATTAATCGCTATCTTCACTCGTATCTAAAGTAATACTTGTTTTGTAGCAAATCACCTAAAATGAACGATACAAATGTTCTTACATTTAGGACATTTGTTCTGCCACATCTTGACATCGTCAACTGCTATGTAGCCATATTCATGGTGAGTATCATTTTTAATAAATGCGTCTAGAAAAATCTGTAAAAAAATGATGAGAAATTTAGGTAATTTACATACCTTGATTTTACATATATTTAAATTTATAAATATGAAAACTGCTAAAGAAAATCTTATTTTTTTTTTTTTTTGCTCAATTGTATGTATTTGAATTTTTACACCTGAGCTTATTCCAAGCAGAGCGAACTTTTCTGATGCATTTGTACTATTTTTGTAACTAATTAAAATGTTCAAATGCAGGAACTTGGCTCCTAGATTTTTTAATTTAAAAAAAAATGGTTTTTGTCATGATAAATGAAACAATTATTTTGGATGTTACTTTACAGTGTAATATTTTTATTGACAAATAAAATACGCTATACAGCCGTGGTAAAAAAATGCGTGAAAAACTTTTCTCTGGCAGTTCAAATAAATAGTCAACCGAGGGAGAAAATGGTTTTAATTGGTGAAAAATTAATGAGTATGGCAGTTTTTATTTGACGAATTTGGCCTGTTATCAGAATAATTCACAGTGAATCGTGAACTTTTTCGTTAACATGAAAGAAAATACAAAATTTCATTTTGAATTTGAGAACTCCAATGCAGGTTGGTGCTGATGAGCACATTGTCCCCCTTTAACAGTCTGTAAATCTGAGCATTCACGAATTTCATTTGAAGATAGATATCGTTAAATACTAAAATATCTCACCTGATCATTACACCAGCTGTATTAAAAGGTATACAGGTATATGTTTAGGAACTACGAGGTGTATCAATAATTGGAGATAAAGATTTATTCTTGTATATAGAAAATAAACCAGTTTTTGAAATATCAAGAGAGAAGCGATTATATATTTACCCTGAATGTTGCTGAAGCTGTAAACACTCTTGAAAGAAAAATCCACTTTTCTTCTGTCTTATTTGTCATTCTAAATCTTGGATTTAACCTGTTCTTGCCATCGACTTTTACTGCTATTTGGAAGACGTCAGTATCACGACCGTTAATAAAATACCAGAAAGTCAAACAATATGTTCCAGCATTGTTCTCTGGAGTCACAAGTCTTACTCTCTTTCTTGCCATTTTGTTGCTTGACTTAATGTAAATGTAACCGCCAGCTAAAATAATAAGAAATTGAATTACCAATTACCAGAGTATAAGATATTATCATTAAATGTATATTTACAATTTTCATATATCACAGGGTGAGAAAAAATGTGCAGCCTGACCGGGACTCGAACCCGACACCTTTTAAATACTGTTTCGCGAATCTACCGACTGAGATATCCGGCCGCTTACGCTTACACATTTTTTTTACCTAAATAGTGAACAATTTGAACCATGACATACTTCCCCGCTATATTGAAGTTTGTTTGTTAATAGTTTAGGGTTATAGAACAATGCTAATTACAGTTTGAGCTATATGCAGATACGGGCCTCACGTTGGGCGGCGCCAAATGTTACAGGGTGAGAAAATATGCAGTCTGAATGGTATTCCAAGAGTTTCGGGTTCGGGTTCGAGTCATTTTTCTAATCCTCTGACATATATCAAATCATTATCGTTTTGAACTGATATTGTCGCATGCGTTTGAGACAGATATGGAAATCAGACGTATGCCAGTATGCTTATTTTTTCTTGCTGTTGAGTTGAATGAGTAAAATATTTCAAACAATTGGCTATTATAATGGTTATTGAATGATAATTGATAATGAAAAAATGTATGTGATACAATATAAAAACTATACGTAAATTATAAAAAGAATGTCCCACCACTCTTTAAAAGTTGAGCGTTACCGATACATTCTGAACAATATTTATAGAATTTTCTATTGCTCGAGTGAATAATTGATTATCATTGTCATAGTAATATAAAGAATTAAACATAATCATGGTAAATCGCTAAGTAGTATGTTTTACCTGTTCACTGACCATTTACACTTGCATGGGCATAATGTCATTTTAAAGTACATTGTACTATAAAAGAAATTATTCAATTTTATACCTAAATTTAGTTATTCTTAGCAATCGATAGAGTCGGTGTTTATATCATGTTTGATATCAATTCAATGCACATATGCTTCCAAAATTTATATACGCCCGTTTGAGAAATTCAGGTACCTGTGGCCAAGGTCAAGGTCACAAACAGAGGTCAAAAGTCACATAAAAATATGAAAATGTGTATAGAGACCATTTAGTCATTATTAATTGAGGGATTGTAGCACAAATGGCCATTATTACAACTACAGCTGTGACACCTGTAATTAAGGTCAATATATGTTAGGTCAAGGTCACTAGATGATAAATATCCAGATTTTGTCTGGAGCATATCTCCTACATGCATGGAAGAATTTTTACTTTATACAAATGTTCACCATGAGAGGTATTGCTTTTCGCATAATTCATGTCTCTAGGTCAAAGGTTAATGGTACTCTTAGAGCTTATTGAAAAACGATTGTCCGGTAGAAAAATCTTCTACATTCATAGGGGTATTTTAATATAACTTGGCACAAATGTTCACCATTGTGAGGCGCAGTGTGGGACAACCACAGGCGCAGTGTCGGACAAAGAATTCAGGTCACTTCGACCAGTCATGGTCACACATAGAGATCAAAGTTAAGATAAAAATATGAAAACGTGTATAGGGACCATTTAATCATCATGTATTGATTGGATTGAAACACAAGTAGTAACTATCATGACTACGACTGTGACACATGTAATTAAGCTTAATATTTGCAAGGTCAAGGTCACTAAAGATGATTAGATATCCAGATCTTATTAAGAGCATATCTCCTACATGCATGGATGAATCTTAATGTTACTTTATAGAACTATTCACCACTATTAGACGTATTGTTCCACGCATGATCTAGGTCTCTGGGTCAAGGTCAATATCACACTTTGAGCTAATTGAAAAGCGGTTGTCCGGAGGAAAAACTTTTACATTAATAGGAGGATTGCAATATAACAAATTTTCATTATTGTGAGGCTGCGTGTCGCGCATAATATTCAGGTCCCTGTAACAAAGGTCTAGGTCATATAAGAGATAAAATTTTATATAAAAAACGAATATATGTATAGGGACTAACTTGATTGCCATACTTCTTATTGCCCACATATACAGCTTAAGCTTTTGTGACGGGCGTATTTTGTAACAATGTAACCCTTGTTACATCTAATGTTTAAAATTAGAACAAAGATATTTATAAAGTGAATGATAATTTTTCATAATGAAGTTATATTACCTCCTGGGGTATGATCAGAATCTGGGTCTGTATTTTTATTTTTTGTTAATGTGTTCCATCCTTGCCCCCAAGTCCAATTAAAGGCATTATTTACAGCTTGTTTCCAGCTACAAAAACCTTCATCAAAGGTACAATCAATCGATACTGCTCTCACAACTGCTTAAAATAAAATACCCGAACAAGAAATAAATACCATATTAATTGATGAAAGGAAGAAAAAATTACAAATAGGTGTATATAATTAAAAGATTATTTAAAAAAATGCAAAATTCGCCTGTCTGTTTGTTTATGTTCACACTGTGTAGCGGATAGTGTATGGCTTTATTATTTTATTATTGCCAAAAAAGAAACAAGCAAAACATGGTTCAGGTAACTGGTAATTGAAAACATTTTAAAAACTATAACAGGACACTAAAATGAATACATTTGAGCAGTAAAACTTAAAGCATATCGAAAATATAATGGCCTTGAAATGAAAACTATAAAAATCCATAATTTTATGGACGATTCTCGAAAGAGTTGTAACTTATCCCCATGAATATTGTACGTAAACAGAATTTTAAAATATTATTCTTTTTAAGGCAATTTACTACCATATTTATCTCATACATGTCTTTTGAAAGTCTTCTTTTTTTAAAATTCAAATCAATACTTTTTGCAGCATATATTGCTTTATACACTTTAAATGTCATATCACCCATAAAATATTCATAAAATAAACTCACCCACATATCCACAGAACATAACATAACAGGTAAAAATAAGAAAACAGTGTTTACTCCCCATGTCGCCAATTTATACTAGGAAGTTTTCTACAGTTTTGAAATATTTATAGTTATAATTATCTGTAAATAATAAGTTTGTATACTTGGCTAGTTATAGAGGTCAAATATAGTACGTGACGGTTTACATTTACATGTGCATGTAACAGTGTTATTTGAAATCATAACAACTCAAAATATAAAGATTTTAATAATAATAATAATAATAATAATAATAAACCCTGTATTTAACGAAGGTAGCTTATTAAGACAATACATCAAAGATATATACACATATAATGCAATCTGTTATTTTTACCACGGCCTTTTAGAAACATAAAGGTAAACATATCACAAGCAATAAACACTTAGTTAAATTCTATTATTACACTTTTATCACATAGCCCAATAACCTGTAAGATGTTTAAATTGTGCTGTAACATATAAATCACGCAAGGAGTACTAGTACTTTTTTCTTTTCTTTCTTATTTTTTATTTTTATTTATGATTTTTATTATCACAGATATACATACATCTATATTATCTATACCTATATTAAGCTCTATGTTATTATTATTATTATTATTATTTTTATACTTGCAATTATTGATATTGACAATTTACAACATTTAACTAATTTGAGACAGAAAATTTATAATACCATTAGATACCTAATGAAAATACTGATAAACATATGCAATGTATTCAGTTTGTATTAAAAGTACTACACCAAATGAAACATAAATCTCGAAAAATTATTGTGTCAAACACCTCCAGCGGAGCCCCTTTAAACAGTTAGAAAATGTCAAACGAACGTTGATCTACCCTTACCCGACAACGCACTTTAATGCTGTTTTGTATAATTAATGAGAAATACAGAAACAAAGTATGTGTGTACATAGAAAATGTTTAACCTTAACTCTACTGTAACTGAAAGTTACAAATGTATCTCATCTTATTTAAATATTTTTCTTAAGATCAGTTTGCGAAAATGTGTTTTCTCATCTCATCTGATGGTATACAGATATAAAGTATTCATTTCAATATTCAAATAAGCAGGAAATTAAAGTCACAAAACATTTTTTCAATAGTCTTCAGGGGTACGGAAAATAAAATTACGATTTATGACTTTGTGTATCTCAGTTGAAGTAAACACACGTAAAATACAAACTACAGGATGTTTATGATCTTCTTTTAAGATAAATTCAAGTTTAATGAATAAAATAAAAAAATCTACAAAACAACAATTTTTCTTCAAATTTATATGACAGACCATGTTTAAACATGAAAAAACGCGATTAAGGGTAATTTCAAGTATTTTCATCATTTTCTGTTAACCCATTACTTCATATACACGCCTTTTAACGCCTTTTTCCCCCCCCCCCCCCCTTTTTGTTGCCTCAAATGATGAAAAAATGCCTTATTTAGGCCCCAAACACTTGTTTTTGTTTGAGAAATGTTGTTAAAAAAAGTGACCTCTTTTTCGGCGCGGCCCCCCAACCAAAAGATACATCAGGGGGTTGCCAGAAGGGGGATGTGCCCCCTTCTGTTTGGGGGGGCTTGAAGGGGGGCGGAGTCCCCCTCATCGCCAAGAAAATTTTGGACTTGTGAGAGGCTGTAAATGACCCCAGATTGATCATAAGGTAACGTGTAACCAACGCTGAAAAGCATTTGACTCTATCTCAATCCATTGAGAAGTTGCAGCACTTTGAAATCAATTTTGATGGAAAAAATCAACGCAAAATAGTGATTTTTGGCAATTTTGAGATGTCCCCTCGTTGCCATGGTAACAGAAAATTTAAGCCTGAGCATGTTGTTGCAAGGGCAATGGTCCAGTCAACATTTGTGCCAAGTTTGATTAGTGTTGAAGCAGTTTTTATAGTATTATAGCAATTTGAACTTGTAACGGGAGACTTTTCAATGAAAACAGCCATTTTTCACAAAAATGCTCATGAAGCAATGGTTAATGAATAAAATAAAAAAAATCTACAAAACAAACAATTTTTCTTCAAATTTATATGACAGACCATGTTTAAACATGAAAAAACGCGATTAAGGGTAATTTCAAGTATTTTCATCATTTTCTGTTAACCCATTACTTCATATACACGCCTTTTAACGCCTTTTTCACCCCCCCCCCCTTTTTGTTGCCTCAAATGATGAAAAAATGCCTTATTTAGGCCCCAAACACTTGTTTTTGTTGAGAAATGTTTGTTTAAAAAAAGTGACCTCTTTTCGGCGCGGCCCCCCCAAC